GATTCTCATTGTCTTTGTAAGATTGGGCTGCCATAACAAGAATGGTGGTGGCTTATAAATGACAGGACCTTGGTGTTGTTCATGGTAGAAAGCTTGCCTAGCCGGCCTTGGGTTTGATTCCTGGGGCTACACGCAAACATACACACACACATATGCATGCACACACACATAAATAACAAAGTAAGAGAAATTTGTCCTCATCGTTCTGGAAGCCAGAAGTGCATGTTGAGAGTGTCCTATGCTCAGGGGGCAGGCAAAAGCCCTCTTGTGAATTGTGGATGGCCAACATCTCGTGTCTTCCTGGAAGGACCAGAGAGCCCTATGAAGTCCTTTTTGGGAGCACTTCGATGCCGTTCATGAGACTTTCTGTCTTCACGATCTTAGGTTCATTACCTTCCCAAGGGTTCCAGGCCCTAATCCCACCCACTTGAAGATTAAAGTTCAAATGTAGCTTTCTGGGAGCCCAGGCAGCATCATAACACCGACGTAAATACTGTCGTCGTGTGAGGAGTTCTTTGGGAAGCTGGAGAGGGATAACTGGAACATTTCTGGGCCTTTCCCAGGGCAATCAACGCCGTGAAAAGGCTAGCCTTGCTTTTCACATCCCCTTAGATGCTGTCATCTTTCTTGCCCAGAGTCTTCATGAATGCAGCTGGTGAAGAAATCAGGTCAGCCAGCGCATCCGTGGACAGCCCTACAGAAAGATCAGCCCCGAGAGAGCACTGGGAGCCAGGGAGGTCCGCATGTCTGGCCTGGGGAACTTGCATAACACAGGGTTCTCTCTCAGAATTGAATTCTTTCGATCTGTCTGTGCCGTTGGATGTTTGGTGAGGGACATGTGGGCAGGGATCTGGCTCTCTGTTGGTATACTGCTGGCTTCTTTTCTAATGCCATCCTAGGGCGTTTTAAATCAATTCTCCGAGACAACCGCAGAGCTGGGCAGTCTTTCCTTAAAACGCCTCTCACGTTCATCTCAACACAGCTCCCTCTGTTCCCACACGTCACTGGAAAGGTGAGCACAGGAGAGGAGCTGAGGTAGTGTGGGCTGATAATGAGAGCGATGGACACAATCCCAAACACGGCCTGGTACTTCAGAGGAGGAAACATTCCTTCAATGAATGAACTAAAAAGATTTTCTGAAGCTTTTCCATCCTCAAACCCCTCCAGTATTGCCTGGATAAATGAATGAATGAATGAATGAATGAATGAATGAATGGATTATTCTTATGACTCAATTTCCTCGTGGCTCTTAGGATTTATTGTGGTTTGAATGCGAAATGCCCCCCCCAGGCTCATGTATTAGAACACCGGGGCCCCAGTGGGTGCTGTTTGGGGAGGTTATGGAATCTTTAGGAGGTGGAGTCTTGTGGAGGAGGTGTCTGTCACTGGGGGTAGGTTTGGAAGCTTGATAGCCAGCCTCACCTCACCCTCTTGCTCTCCCTCTGCCTCCTGCGCATGGATGAAAATGTGACCAGCCAGCCTTCCCGCTCCTGCAGCCTGCCTCCTCCGCCATAATGAGTCTGTCCCCCTGGAGCCAGAAGCCAAACTGAATCCATCCCTCCTTAAGCTGCTCTTCTGGGGATGTTTTACTCATAGCAGCAAAAGTAACTAAGATGGCATTTAACCCTACTTCGTCGCCACGACCAGCAAGGCCTAGAGTGATCTCGGCTCTGCTGCCTCTTGCGTTTGCTTCACCCCAGGCTAACGCTGGCCTCCCTGCTCCTCAGGCCAGGTCACCTCAGGTCCATCTCAGGACTATACTTGCCCTATATTTCGCTGGAAGGGCTCCTCCCTTAGCTCTCAGGCTTTCTTTTGGTTTCCATTCCAAGGTCGTCTCAAAAGGCTTTCTCCAGTGAATCAGCCAAAACTAATTACTTAGCCTTGCCTCAGACCTGAGGTTCACCTGATTCATTTTTTCTAGATCACACTTAACCACTGCATGAAATTAAAACTAGTTATTTATTAGCAGGACTCTGTTCTGAGAGACAGGGTTCTTCTTCACTGTTCTATGTCTAGATCCTAAAGCACTGACATAAATTGGCTGGTTACATGAATGGATGAATGAATGAATGAATGAATGAATGAACGAATGAAGGAACGAATGACCTTTTACTGTGATCTTTATCAGCTTTTGAGTAAGATCAAAGATACGAGCAAAACTTGTACAGGTAACAACAGTAATGCCAGTGATGCATGGCAGCTCTGACTCTGTCACCCAGGGGTCTCTTCAGAAACTCACGGGACACCTGAACTTTTCATGTCAAAGCATCAAAACGAGTCTCAGCCTTGGTTCTAAATGAGTGAATGAGAAGGTCAGAGCCAAGGGAGTGTCTTGTTAGGATTGCTGTTACTGCGACTGTGATGAAACATGATCAAACGCAAGCTGTGGGGCAAAGGGCTTATTTGGTTTACACCTCTACATCCATAGTCCATCCCTGAAGGAAGTCAGGACAGGAACTCAAACGGGGCAGGGACCTGGAGGCAGGAACTCATGCAGAGGCCACGGAGGGGAGCTGCTTACTGGCTTGCTCATTATGGCCTCCTCAGCTTGCTTTCTTATAGAACCCAAGACCACCAGTCCAGGGACAGTACTACCCATCATGGGCTGGGCCCTCCCCGTCAATCACTAGTTAAAAAAATGCCCTACAGGCGGGTCTTATGGAGGCATTTTCTCAGCTGAGGCTCCCTCCTTTCAGATGTCAAATTGTTGTTAAACTATCCAGTATAAGGAGTTTCCGTGGACCATCTGTGTTCCAGTCCTACAGCTCTTGCCATAGATCATCAGGAATGTAGTGGCTTAAAACAACAGCAATTTATTCTGGAGGCTGTAAGTACAGACATCGGCAGACATCGGCAGGGCCGTGGTCTCTCTGGAGCCTCCTCCAACTCCTGCCGCATGCGCAGTTGTTCGGGGCTAGCAAGGTGGCTAAGAGGGTAAAGGCACTTGCTGCCAAACCTGACTAGCTGAGTTCAATCTCCAAGGGGTCTCACCCGGTGGAAGGAGAAAACTGACTCCCACAATTTGTCCTCCACACACGCACCATGGCACATGCACAGTACCTATTGTCTATCTATCCACCGTCTGCTGACTTTATCACTCTTCCTGGTTTGGGGTTGTATAACTCCAAAGAATGTAGCCTTCATTTTATGAATCTCTAAGAACAAACATTGTTTAATGCCTAACTTAATGTAATCATTTAATGTGAATTTTTTCCTAGGATCTGTACCTATGTCCAGATGCTCTGAAGAACAGCATCCACCTCAGGAATGTCTATCGCCATACAATGACTAAGACAAATTCCATCATCTTCTATTTTATCATTGTCTTAGAACTGATACTTATCAAAATCCAGTTATCTGATGGAAGTGAGCTCATCATTAGGAGGCCAAGAGCAAACCTCACCCATGTGCCCAAAGACCTACCCTTGGCAACAACTACTTTAGACATATCACAAAACAATATATCTGTGCTTCAGGCTTCTGACATCGTCTTGCTGTCCAAGCTGAGGGTCTTGATGATGTCCTACAACAGACTCCAGTGTCTTGATATGGGTGTTTTCCAATTCAACACGGAACTGGAATATTTGGATTTGTCCCACAATGAGTTAAGGGTGATCTCTTGCCACTCAGCAGTCAATTTCAAGCACTTAGACCTCTCCTTCAATGCATTTGATGCCCTGCCCATATGCAAGGAGTTTGGCAACATGTCCCAACTAGAATTTCTGGGACTGAGTGGTACTAAGGTACAAAATTCAAGTGTGCAGCCGATCACTCATTTGAATATTAGTAAGGTTTTGCTGGTTTTAGGAGATGCTTACGGGGAAAAAGAAGACCCCGGGAGTCTTCAGCATGTCAGCACTAGGAGCCTGCATATTGTTTTCCCTGTGAAAAGAGAATTTCGTTTTATTCTGGATGTATCAGTCAGCACTGTAATCAATCTGGAACTATCTAACATCGAGTGTGTACTTGAAGATGAGTGCTATTATTTCTTAAAGGCTTTGTCAAAGCTTGAAAAGAATGAGAAGCTGTCAAATCTTACCTTAAACAACATTGAAACTTCATGGAATTCCTTCATGGGCATCCTCCAGTGTGTATGGCATACACCCGTCAAGTATTTCTCAATTTCAAACATGAAACTACACGGTCAGCTTAAGCAACGAGATTTCGATTATTCCAACACTTCTCTGAAGGCTTTGTCAATATATCAAGTTGTCAGTAATGCGTTCAGTTTATCACAAAATTACCTATACAGTATCTTTTCCAATATGAACATCCAAAACTTCACAGTGTCTGGAACACGCATGCTCCACGTGCTTTGCCCATCCAAAGTTAGCCCATTCCTGCATTTGGACTTTACAGATAACCTCTTAACAGACTTGGTTTTTGAAGACTGTAGAAACTTGACTGAATTGAGAACACTTGGTTTACAAAAGAACCAGTTAAAGAAACTTGAAAAAATAATTCTTATGTCTGCGGAGATGACATCTTTACAAAAGCTAGACATCAGCCAGAACTCTCTAAGCTACGGTGAGGGGGAAGGCCTGTGCGCCTGGACTGAGAGTTTGCTAGTTTTAAATTTGTCTTCAAATATGCTTACTGACTCTGTCTTCAGATGCTTACCTCCCAAGGTCAAGGTCCTTGACCTTCACAACAACAGAATAATGAGCATCCCCAAAGATGTCACCCACCTGCAAGCTTTGCAGGAACTCAACGTTGCATCCAATTCTTTAACGGACCTTCCTGGATGTGAGGGCTTCAGCAGCCTCTCTGTGCTGGTCATTGAGCATAATTTAGTTTCCTACCCCTCAGCAGATTTCTTCCAGAGCTGTCAGAAGATTAGGTCCATAACAGCAGGAAACAACCCATTCCGATGTACATGTGAGCTGAGAGAATTTGTCAAAAACATAGGCCGACTATCAGAAGTGGTAGAGGGCTGGCCTGATTCTTACACCTGTGACTCCCCAGAAAGCGCTAAGGGGACCCTATTGCAGGACTTCCACATGTCTGCATTGTCCTGCGATACTGTTCTGCTGATTGTCACCATTGGGGTCACTTTGCTGCTGTTGGCTGCCATCGTGGCTTTCCTCTGCCTCCGCTTTGATCTGCCCTGGTATCTGAGGATGGCGTTTCAGTGGACACAGACCCGGCACAGGGCCAGGAACATCCCCATAGAGGAACTCCAGAGGAATTTCCAGTTTCACGCTTTTATCTCATACAGTGGGCATGATTCCACCTGGGTGAAGAATGAATTACTACCAAACCTAGAGAAAGATGACATCCGGGTTTGCCTCCATGAGAGAAACTTTGTCCCTGGCAAGAGCATTGTGGAGAATATCATCCATTTCATCGAGAAGAGTTACAAGTCCATCTTCGTGTTATCGCCCCACTTCATCCAGAGTGAGTGGTGCCATTATGAACTCTGCTTTGCCCACCACAATCTCTTCCACGAAGGGTCTGATAACTTAATCCTGATCTTGCTGGAGCCCATTCCCCAGTACTCTATCCCTAGCAACTACCACAAGCTGAAAACTCTCATGGCACAGAGGACTTATTTGGAATGGCCCACGGAGAAGAGCAAACACGGACTTTTTTGGGCCAACCTAAGAGCAGCCATTAATGTCAAGCTGGTTAACCAAGCAGAAACCACGTGTCACATACAGAGATAAGAATTTTCTCCTTATCAGTGGTGCTGCCTTGGACAGTTCTGATAATGGTGCCCTGGCTTCAACATGAACCTAAAAATGATTTTGACGTTATGATGGAGACTTTTCTGCTTTCAAGCCCCAGTTTACCACTGGTGTGTGGTAATAAAAATCAGTGGAGTGCTATAATTTTAGGTCTTGCTTTGGTCCAGTATTTCCTATGTTCCCTTCCCTCCCTTCGGAATGATAATGTGTATCCTGTGCCATTGTGCTGGAAATATGTGATCTGCTTTTTGGGGGGTTACAGTTAAGAGATTGCCATGAGTCCCAGGAGAGACTTTGGGCTTTGAAACGGTGCCAATACTGTGATAGACAATGGGGACTTTTGAAATTGGACTGAACACATTTTTGCATTATGATATGGCCACAAGCCTAAGGGCTCAGGGAATGGAATGTGGAGGTTGGATTAGTAATGGTCCCAATAGGTTCATACGTTTGAATGCTTGGTTACTAAGGGGTGGCACCACTTGATAGGGATTAGGAGGTGTGTCCTTGTTGGGGTGGATGTGGCCTTGTTGGAAGAAGTGTGTCACTAGGGGTAGGCTTTGAGGTTTCAAATGCTCAAGCCAGGCCCGGTGGCTGTCTCTGCTGCCTGTAGATAGGGATGCAAAACTCTCAGCTACTGCTTCAGCACCATATAACTGCCTGCATGCTGCCATGCTCCCAACCATGATAATGGACTAAACCTCTGACACTGTAAGCGAGTCCCAATTAAATGCTTTCCTTTGTAAGAGTTTCTGTGGTCACGGGTGTCTCTTCACAGCGATAGAACCGTGATAAAGACACTAGCACAAGATGGCAGAAATTGGTGGTGCCATTTGAGGGCAGTGTCCGTCAATAACTTTACGTGTATTAAAATTTTGAGTAGACAGCTATTTGAGAGTGTGGTGAATGTTATCTCGAACACAACATATACATAGAAAAAAATGAAACAAATAAAGCGAAAAACTAATAAATATGGTACTAGATTGTCATGGGGTATGCTGTTGCCGTGAATGATGTGTCAGGATTTAAGTAGAACATAAGGTAAACCCTGAATAATTTACCAAAAGACAAATGTTGCTGTGGGAAAAGGGAACCAGTGAGTTACAAGAAATGCTCTTTTCTGGTAATATTTATCTATGTATTTGTGCATCTGTGTGGATGGTGGGTGACACACGCCACGGTGTGTGTGTGTGTGTGTGTGTGTGTGTGTGTGTGTGTGTGTGTCAGAGGACAACTTTGTAAGGTCGGCTCTCCCCTTCACTTTTGTATGGGTTCTAGGGACTGAACTCAGGGACTGTACAGAAAGTGTTTTCGTCACCTGAGCCGTTTTACCAGGCTTCTTTTTGTGTTTGAGACAGAGTCCTATGTACTCCAGTCTGGCCTTGAACTCATTAGATAATTGAGGCCAATGATCCTCTTGCCTCAACCTCCCCACTACCAGGATTATAGACGTGTGCCACTGAGCCTGACTGTTTTCACTTTTCCATGGCAGATGTAAATAATACAGATACAGCAGTGTGCTGATAAATGCCCCACAATGGCCTTCAAGGGGGAGGGGGGCTTTGAAAAATTAGTAACACTCTTCATTATTTTATCTAGGAATTTAATAAGATAATGAATAAAATTCCAATTTTCTGATGGGGGTTTGCCAGTTTTGTCACACACACACACACACACACACACACACACACCCTTCATGGTCAATTTCAAGGTGTCAATGTGACATCATTGAAGGTGGAGTTGGAAAGAGATGGGCATGAATGTCTTAGTACAACGTTTTCACCATGCTGATACAGTGGACAGGAAGGCTCTCTAGGGCAAAACCATGGTGAGTGCACAGTAGAATGGTCAGGCCCGACCACGGTGGGCACACAGTGGAATGGTCAGGCAGTGAAGAGCTTAGAGTACTTACTGTTTTTTTGTTTTTAAGGCCATTTGTTCAAATACCAAGTAGACACAACTCCATTTTCAGTGTTGGCTGCTTTTAACTGTCTCACAAAATCCTTGAAAGATAAAAACTGGCTCTCCTAAGTGAATATAAACCGGATGTATTAGAAAAGATCTGAGTAAGCATGACTCATTGTGTAGTGGGGTTTTCCCCCCACATTCAATGTAAAACAATGGCAGGTGGCTTCCATGCGAACTAGGGAATCTTGGGGGAAATCCTTGAGCTCAAGTGCCTGACAAGATGTTTATCACGTGCCTGAGCTCTGCAATTCAGCCTCGGATCCACGGTAACTCCCGGTTACAGTCACAAAGATAGCTCTGCTAGGTATTGGGTGAGGCTAAGTGGTGTGGACTTGTCTATCACGCACATGACTTGGCTTCCATCCCCAGGATCACCACAACCACAAACAAGAACAAACTGTTGGCGCTGGGAAGCAAGCCAGACATGGAGCTCACCCCTGAAATTTCCAGAACTCCGGAAACTGAAGCAGAGGGTTGTAAATCTGAGAATACCCCTGGCTACATGCAAGACCCCGTGCCTAACAAAACAAAACAAAACAAAACTCAAACGATGAAAGGAAGAGGCTGGAGAGACGAGTTGGTGGGCAAAGCGCTCGCCGCACTTTGCTGGGTGTCCAGAGACGTCAAGTGGATCACCAGAGCTCGCTGGCCAGCCCGTCTAGTAAGTTTGTCAGGAGGAGGTTCAATGAGAAACTCTCCCTCAAAAAATAAGGTGGAGAGTCATTTAGAAAGATATCTGATGTCGACCTTTGGCCTCCGTGGACATTCACACGGATGTGCACGCCCACGTACATACCACACTCCCACACAAACTCTCACAATGAAAACAAGCTGAGAAATACAGACTCAGGCTTTCCCTCCTTCCTCTCTCGCCTTTGTTAACCCCTTATTCACTCTCTGTGTGTAAAGATTTTTTATATGTGTGTGTGTACGTGTGTGTGTGTGTGTATATATATATATATGTATATATATGGAGAGAGATATAGAAATATAGATAGATAGATAGATAGATAGATAGATAGATAGATAGATAGATAGATAGATAGATAGAGTTCACCCGCCCTTTAAAGATGTATTTTGTCTCTAGTCCCTTTCCTCTGGTACCCTTTCCTTTCCCTTCCCTTCTCTCTCCTCCCCTCCCTTCCCCCCCAGTCACCTCCCCACTGCTTCATGGGTGCCACAAGGTGAGTAACTTCTCTTCATAATGATTTCCATGCCATGATGTTCTGCTTCTCACAGACCCCAAGTGACAGGGTGATGGAACCACGCACTGAAACCTCTATAAGCCAGAATAAAGTTCTTCTACTGTAAGTCGATTTTCTCTGGAGCTTGTCATAGTGACTGGGTGCAGACTAACACTTGTTTTAAGGATTCAAGGATTCCCTTCAATAGACAGTGTCTACTCACGTCTCATGTTCTTGCGACTGACTCCTGGGATTACTTTCTTCTTCTGATCACTTTGCTACCCCACCTAATTTGAGAGGCAGAGTAACTGGTCTGAACCTGGAAGTAAGGCACCGGCAAAGTGTTCCAAGATGCTCAGGAGCCAGCGTGGCATTTCTGTGAAAGAGATAAAGAAACATGAAACACCTGATGGTCCAGCGACTCTACATGCAGGAATATACATGTTTATACTCCCTTTTCATAGCATCGTTTTTCACCAGAGTCCTAAGGCAACCCTGTGGTGGTAATCTAATTGTACTGAAATATTATTTTGATTGTATGTTAATAAATAAAGTTTTCCGGGGGTCAGAGCTATTAGAGCCATAGCAAGAGTGTGGCGGTGGTGGCACACGCCTTTAATCCCATAGATATCTGTGTGTTCAGGGTCAGAGCTATTAG